TGTGACATATCATACTTACATGTGGCCCAGAAGGATGAGGGGAAACAACTCTGTGACATATCATACTTACATGTGGCCCAGAAGGATGAGGGAAACAACTCTGTGACATATCACTCTATACATGTGGCACGGATGGATGAGGGGAAACAACTCTGTGACATATAATACTCCACTCTAGAAGAATTACAAGGGTTGAAGTTTACTAAAATTTTGAATGAAACTTATAAATCTATTAAACAGTCTCATAAAAAATCTGTAATGTACAAATAAATGCAATAAAAAGTACAACATTTGAATCAGTAATACTCTATTCATTAAATGTTGCTGGAGTCACCATTGATTCTACATAAAGCAATGATGAACATAGTCATATCAAATGAATATACCTCATTTGACTGTAGTATTCACTGAATAAGATTATAGTTTCCAGTTGTAATCATTCATACTGTACATGAAAGCCACACATATCTCAGAACATGTTTTACCTCTCAAAGCATTCTGTAAACATGTACGACACATGGCCTATCTTACTGGATGATTCACGTCACTGGAGCCATTTTCTTGGACAGTAAACATATATTGGTTTGCAGGTAAAATATGCTACGTTTGGTTGGTTAACTATTTACATAACTGGTTAGGTAATGGGTTGGCTAATCGGTTTGGTAACTAACTGGGTAATTCGTTAATTATCTACATATTTGTAAATATCTCTGTGACATGATATTCATTACTTCTGTAAAGATCACTTATTGTACATTCTACTTGACATTTTCCTGTTGAATTATTATTGTATTTTACTAAACGCCTAATTTCACACACCAAACATACTCATTGGAAAGTGTAATTTTCAGTTCTGTTTGTGGTTCAATAACTTTTCTCAATAAACATGATGACATTCCATTTTATTTTAGCAAGAATATGTTACAACTATAACAATGACTCGTACTTATAAAATAACCAATAAATACATAAGTACCCAACCAGAACTCTACTTGTTCTGTCAACATTTCCGAAATGTGCCATTTTCACTTAAAATGTTGGGATAAAAGTTAAATGTTATCTATCATAGAAGTGCCAATGTTTCCATCATATTTGATGAATGTGGTCTTGACAGAATTATCTGCCACTTTCAAACTTTACCTCCTGTAACAGACATCACTGTTCAAACATGTACCCTTCAAGAACCCGTAGAATAGCCGTGCTTGAAAGAAACGTATAAAAAGGGCCTGTAACCAAATTTTTTTGCACACCATTCATAAAATAAAATAATAATATTTTACAAAATAATCATATGTAGGACTACTAAATATGTGACAGTGATGATGTGTTGGTTTATATAAGAGACAGTGTGATTTCTAAGTTGTGTTGCTATTCACAGAACTTTATATATATTTGTTGTATTAATAAAATTTTGGAGGAGTTAAGATGAAATAAATGTAATTTACATGTAATATTGTTCTGAATCAGCCATTAAAAAAATGAAAAGCTAGTATACTTGTCAGGGCTAACAGAACTATTAGTTAGGAATTGTGAAAGTTAAT